TGCTGGGTCAACTGGCTTCTCTGTAGCAAACATAGGTAGTCCCTGAAGAGGAACCTAGGCTGGAATTTAAAATGTACCCATCAGGGCTGAACTAATTTCATCTGACTTCAGCTATTTAAAAATTAGCTGCCTGGGTTTCCCCTCTACTGAAGGATATCAGTAGGCACTTCCAGAAGACAATTCCACCCAACCTACAATATTGCCATTTACTCCACTGACTACAGAGGTCTACATGTTTAGCTTACTGAATTCAGGTGAAATAACTTTCAAGCGTAAAGTATGCCTCCAATCTCTTTCAAGGCACCTAAGACCTTGTTTGGATAAAGCTATCACTTTATAACAACAAAGAATGGTATTTATTTGATAATAGCTCCCAGCTGTTATGGCACTGGCACTCTTGCAAGATGTGAAAAATTGAGGCAGAGGAGGAATTTTAACTTGCTTCTCCCAAACTCCAGCAGAATGCTTACCACCACTACACTATAAACAACTCTTACCATCATCTGCCAAACACAAGTGAGCAGGTCAGGTACCTGACAAAAAAGTCCTTCAAGTAAATCAGGCAGATGAACAACATGCGAATCTGGCTCGGGTGCACATACAACCCTCAAGACTGCATTCTTCTTCCCTGCACAGCAGCAAAAATACACCTTCCTTGAGGGATGTTACTGGATTAAGATGAGAGAGGTAGAGATCCTAAAGAAACGTCTGGGTTCAAGCTGAGAAGGCTTTACTGTGTATCTCAGTTTTGGATTTAAACACTTCACACACCAACTAGACATACAAAATCTTTTGCAGACCCAGCCCTCAGCACATAGTAGAGTCAATGACACGTACATGTTCTGTGTATATATGGATTATTCTTCTACTGTTATGGTGTAGAAAAAAATAGAAATTAAGCTTTAAAACTGCAGTAATCACGGAAATAATTCCTATAAATAAAAATTATTTGCACTCCACATACGACACATTAAGTCCTTTTTATATCTAGTTGTCAGTTTTGATACATACCCCTGCATGTATCCAAAGTCTGCAATCAATCTTACTGTTCACAGTTGATTTACTAATCAGCAGCATTTAATTTCAGTGAAGTGTAATTTACAAACAGTCAGACTAAAAGAATTCTGAATCAGATCAGATGCAATTGTTTTACATCAGCATCACTATAAATTTACCTGCATACTTGTACTTGATCTGTGGCTACGCTGCTCTCCAAAACAAGTGAATTAATAAGAATGATAAAATCTAATGAACAACATTGACCCACACAATCCTTGTTTGTTTTGAATATAGATGGAGAGAACGAGCAGCACAACACAGAGAACACTTATCTTATAAATGACAAGAAAGAATACCTTCAAAAAAAAAAAAGGAACTCATTACTAGTCATGTCTAGGCATTGTATAGATAGCAGTCTTTAATAGCTGGAAAGAAAGGAATAGTTTTTATCAGTCAAGACACAGATGGGAATTAAAATAACCCAAAGCATGAAAATTTCAGTGTAAAATGCCACAGCTGTACTTACATGAAGAAGATGAATGCAAGATTTGAAACTGTGCTATGAGTCTGCCAAAAGAGGCACAAGTCACTTGGGCTTTTTTTCTAAACATGTCCACTAATGAAACCCTCATTAGGCAGTGCAAAGCTTGCACCATTGCCTGCTTCACTTCAGGGTGTATATAAGTAAATAGCCTCTTGCACATCCTCAAAACCCATAAAACAAATGCACAGTATCCATAATGCTAAGGTAACAGAATGTAAATAGCTGGTGATCTGTTTTCTGGCAGTACAGCAGCAGTTTGAAAGGAAATGCACTACTGAAGGGCCCTAACTTGACCACAAGAACAAAAGCCAGGTTGTTCTCAGACCCTGCATTCTCTCGGGTTGTGTTCCACTTAACAGGTGCTCTATGCAGATTCTTCTTCCAGCCAGGTTTTCCAGGAAGAGAGAAAAAAGAATTTTTAGTTTGACAGTCAGTTGAGCATACGATTTCCTTTTATAATACCATTGTTCAGGAGCCGTATGTACATACAAAATGAAGGATTAAGCACTCGATTCCCTGCTCAGTTCTGTGACACGCTTCCTAGGGAAGTTGTCAGACTCCGTAACTACAGAGAACTATCTTCAGCTGCTGTTAAGAGCTCTGTTAGCATAGGATTAGGAAATACTCTGGTTAGAAATGCTCTAGAAAATACTTAGAATAACCTTTTGAATAAACTACTAATATCCAAGGCATCAGCCAACTTCTTTAAGACAGAGGCCAACATCAGATAGCATCAGTAATAGCTTACTAGTTGCTGCATTAAAGTACTGATGATCATGCTATATTGCCTTCTGCAGAGCTTGTGGTAGTAGATCAACATCTTTGAAAGTAATCTCTTAAAAGATGTAATAGCCACCTTCCGTATACACTAAACATATACATATTTAAAGCTCCCTTTGCTTTCTACAGTCATTTCCACAAAGCATTTCAATGATGTATCTACCGCGAAGATTGTTCTCCACACACCTCAAATTCTAGCTGTAACACAAGCTTAGCAAAACAACACTCAAAGTTGTGTTTATTAGGTCTATCTTTCCTCGTATGTATCTGACATAACTTGTTTTGAGTTTTGGCACTTTCAATTTACCTTCACGCTGTGTGATTAGCCCTGCAGCTGAAAAATTAACAGCTCTCATGTATCATCTTGTTATACGAACTTCTGTAATCTTATGGACGCTTCTATATAATTTATTCTTTCAATGCCTCAATCTCTTCTTCAGTTTTTCAGCAAGTAATTTTCTCTTTCAGAGTTCTTCTGATTTGAGAGTTCTCTAGTAACTTTAAAAGAGGATTTTCATAATGCCTTTCAAGATGGACGCAGCAATATCAGATCACTGTGTTAAAGCTCTTCTAAATATCTCCACAAACACTGCAAAGGAACTGTACAAGTGGGATGCTGAGGGGATGGTTCCTGCTGTTGGTTTCCCATACACTGTCTCTTCAATAAATTGGCCTGGTTTGCAGCTGCTGGTCATAAATTTCACTACACAGCTTACTTAGCAGAGGAGAAACAAGCATCTGCAAGGAAGTATAACGATTGTACTCAGCACATTCCTATCCAACAAGTGATGGGTAGGAAACAAATCGGGGCTGTGTTTATAGATTGCCTGCCCAGTATGTGGCCCACATGCCCAATTTCTCTGCACCCCACCAGGGGTCACTAGCACCACATTACAGAGGTTCCTCAGCAGGGCAGGCAACTTTATTCTTCTATCATAATAATTTAAAGTATTTACACACTGCACAGCCACCCTTTTACACAGACATATACTTACTGGTATATTCATGAACTACATCTAAAAGGTTTTGCAAAGGCTGACACATTGTGGGGTTTCCAAGCATGAAAAAAAAATATCTGTAGCCTTCTGAAAGACAGCCATTTGGAGGGCCTGTGAAAAAAAGTGTTCCCTCTAAGCTTACGTTCTCCCCAGAGACCATTCACTAGCTGCAAACTATCCACATGTTTGGCATTAACTAAAGCTCTCTTGGCAATGGCAGACTTCAAGAATGAACACGTGCAAATAACATTTTCTCAAGAAGTCCGACAGCAGGAACAAGAAAATTGAAAACTCCTTAGGGGAACTACTACATTTCTGAAATATTATTTATCTGACAGGCTCACAACTCAATGCTAGTATACATATATATAGCACATGTATGTATATACATACAGGATCCAGGGACAGAGGAAATTAACTAGTATACGGTGTCTGCCCAGTAAGTGTATGCACCACTGCAAGCAACACTAGGTTCATCCATCAGCTTTCAGCCATGAGAACTTTAAATTCAGAGCACTGATGAGGAAGTTCAGCTACACAGAACAGGGAGAAGCCTGAGACAATCAGGTGAAACTGCAGGAGCCACACTATCAGACATATCATAAATTCACAAGTCCAACTCACCTGAAACAGCACCATCAGACAGCACAGACAGAACAAATTGCCAATAGTCCAGTCAAAAATAAATTTTTACGTTCAGCCTTAACTCAGTTCTGACTACTTTCATCTCAAGTGTTCCCAGAATAACACCTGTATGCAGTTTCCCACTCATACAGGGAATTACTTAGTTTCTTTGCGAAGACTGCTGCTGTCCTTACCATTCAACAGTCCCTAAACTAGCCAGAAGAGTCTTCATAAAAACTAGGAGCTTTCATTCCATGAATAAATTCCACCTCCCTCCACCAAGGCAAACACTAGCTCAAGTCTGCTTAACAAAGGCAAGTCCTATTTGCATCTTATTCAGATAGTACATCAGTCCAGTCTCATATGAACAGTTTTAAGAGTGAAATAAGCCCATCTCGGAGCTGGGTTTATTGTAGCATGTATTAAAGCTTCCACTTCGTGTGGCAGATTAAGGCACTGAGTAAAACCAGCCTTCAGGCCACCAAATCATTCTTCTCCTAGCTGCTCAGTAAAGTAGTCAGAGCCTGCGGCCTCATTCCCCTCCTCCTTGTGAACGTGTAGAGAGAATTAACACATAAGCAATGGACAGAATTCAGGCTTGTGATTTCTCCAGTCCATCCTGGAGAATGACTTAACCCTCCAGGTTAGAGGCAGCCGCAATAGTTACCTTATATGCGTACACAACTAGACCATTAATATCTTTTAAAATTATCTTCCCACTGGCTCTATAAAGCTACATAAGTCTCACTCTAACACATTACCTTTTCTTCTTTTAAAACTCATGCCATGAAACTAGGACATGTCAGAATTACAAAGAAGGTTCTGTAATTCATGTTATCCAAGATGGTCATCTGAGCTAATAGGAAGAACTTCACTCTCTCCCTCCAAAGAAGGGATGGCCATTTGTTTGAGGGACAGAATACAATTCCATTCTTGATGATTTTAACTAGTGCACCCAGGAAATCACCAATGTCACTACAGGACAAGAGACATGCTGCCTCTAGAGTAAGAGAAATGATAAAAAAACCCACAAATTAATCCAGTTAAAAAAAATTGTTAAACCAAGTAGTACTTAGAGGGAGCACTGAGTATTGTATGCACATGTTTATATGTATAATACAGTTACTCAGATACACACATAAATATTTAATATATAAAAAATAAAGTGCTTTCTATCAGGTCCCAATGCAGGGACATTATAAAACATTTCACCAACCGCAAAACAAATTGATACAAAGAACACTACATCCAACATACATGAAAACAGTTAACACAATATGTACAATCTGGTGGGTGTCCCAAGACAAAACATCCCTTCATATACATGGTATATACATATATGCTCATCTTTACTCAATATATTATGACAATATATATTTCAAAACTTTGTTATAGACAAAAAAAAAACCTACAAAAACACAATAAGGAACAAGCACACAAGTCCAAGACTGACAAAGAACTTGCTACCCTTGCCCACACCACCACCTCCACTGCTGGGAAAGATATGCCAGTGCTCTTTTCTGGGGTGCAGTGCTTCCACATCCTGCAAGGCACGGTGAGCAGCAGCCGTGAAGTTAGCATCACCAGTGGTAAGTAGGTCAAATACACATGAGTAAAAATAGATGTCTTTCACCAGCATCTTCTCATGGCATTTGGTGGTGGCAGTTTCCAGTGTGTACACTGACTGGGGATGAGCAGCACCACCCTGAGGGAGCAACTGCCCCATCACAGGCAATGGTAAGTGGCCACTATCATCAATACGTTCACTTGAAGGGCAACCGTTCACACACAGCTGCAGATCCTGGCTGTCCTCGTAGGCCATGACCAACTCCTGAGGCATGCGAATGGCCAAGGTTAAGTAGTGCCCAAGCTGGCGTATATACACTGTGGTTCCAATGTACTTGGCATGCATTTCGACGTATTTGCCACTGACTTTCTCCACAATTCGCAAGCTCTTGGTGTTCCCATCACCTCCACTTGTTGTACCATCAACAAAAGCTGCAGGCAAGTCATCAGTCACTGCTTGATATACTTTCTGATCTGTACAGTCTTGGTATGACTTAAAGATAATAGTTATCTGGGGGGGGCAGGGGGGAGAGGAAAAAAAAAAAGCAAAGTTAGTAGAGAATAAAAAAATCATCATTTCAATCCCTTTTCTATTTTGCAGCTGAACATATGTGGGACTGCCCATTAGCTCAGAGCTTGATAGTTGTCCCCAACTCATGCCTAAAGGAAAACAGTCTGTACACATGCTTACAGCAATATTTTACCAGATGGCAATGGTTAAATTTATTCTTAGGTTGGCCTGGAAGCAAGACTATTAGCATGTGGCAACAGCCACAGGGTTAGGAAAGGAAAAGGCTTTATATTTAATTAAGCATCACAACTCCCTCCTGCCTGATGTTTTCTTAACACTTTGGAATGCATCCCGCAGTCACAGAGAACCGTAAGTGCCAAGTAACTCCCACAATGCTAGCCACTATGGCAAAACCAGAATGAGACTGTGAAATCATGGAAAGGTACAAAAGAATTCAGCTTCCCCCACTCACAATATTCTCATCACTCCTTTTACAGTGACTGTATGACCTTTGTCAGAGTACTGTACACTTGTTGCTACGATTAGCTGTGTGAGACTACTTTAAAAGCACTGATGTATTTAGTGCTTTATCAGCCATCAACACAACAGGCAGTGAGATGCAAGATGCATGACCAGGAAGAACAAATAGTCAAATAATTGCTTAGGGCTCCTGGATATGTTAGTCCTAGGAACTGGGAAGATTTGACACTACCAGTCCACTGCTGCTAGAAAATGTGCCCATGGAGAAACAAAGCAAGACTGAAAGACACTCAAAGACATGCCTTTGAAGAGTGACTTCCAACACAGAAACCAGGAGCACAAAGCAATTACTCATTCTTTTAAGGTTATGACTGGCCTTTTAAACATTTACACTTATTTGAATAAGCCACAACAGACAGAGCAGGTCCTCCAGTCTTACTTGAAGGAAATAAATAGGTTACTTGACAGACCAAGTTCGGAGTGCCTAGTGGCTTTTCCTAAAATAAAAGTATAATGAGGAATCACATACAAATATTAAAAACAGATACGCTACTTCCTGTACAGTTTCAGAGGGGAGTGACTTCTTGAAAAGGTCAAAGGAAATTCTGCATCAGGAATAGGTATCTTAATCATTATTTTCATCATTGACTGATGACATCAAAGTTACTTACAGCCTACAAGTTAGGCAGTCTGCTACAAGATTCAGAGTACTCCAAAATTATATTAGAAGGCATTTTCAACATAACTTTTTCCTTAAAATCTACTCTATAGCAACCTCAGTTAACCAGCACACTTCCACACAACACCTTGTTTCCTGCCCCTCTGCTTTGAAGTAAGAGCTAGAGGTTAAATAAACAGCTGATTACAGACAATCCAAATAAAACCTCTCCTGTCATTAGCCTCACTTCTCCATACCAGTTTTTTAAGACAAAGGTCTTCCCTTCTCTCTCCTCCCACTGCAAGTATGGAGTATGCAGGCATACACTACACAATATTACATTAGTTTTCAATGTCTGGTTTGTCCCAGTTGGTTGATGCTCTGTCACTCTTTCTGTCTGTATCACACACAGAGACAATACTTGCTATTTTGATTTCATATGTTCCTACTGGTGCTGTCTGACTGGAATTTTCCAGTGTTTTTTCTTTGCATTAATCAGTTATGCAGCTAGCTTGAGACCATCTGTAGTCAAGCAATTTGGTAAACTGATGTCTGTGGGCCACAGCTAAATTTGAACGTCTATGCCCAAAATCCAGAAAATGCACAAGTGCCCTTGTTGCTGTAAAGGTCACTCTATGCTTAGTGAAGTAAGCTCAGCAACCCAGAGAAGAGAAACCTGAGATCTGTCAAGTGATTAGTATTTCTGCATATAATCCAGAGCCTCATGCAGTAAATCAGGTCTTCCATTTTATGTAACACAGTTTCAGTGAACAGACTTCTATCTCAGCCTGCTCAGACAAAGAAGCATTCCTACTTCCTCGAAGCATTCCTATTTCCTCAAAAAAAACATTTCAACAGAAGTAAAGGTCTAAGTCTGCTCAGCACCTGAATGAGTCTGCAGTCAAAAAGTTAATGGTTTTAATGAGACACAGAACTGGCTACTTGATAAAACGGTTAAGCAAGGCAACTGGCAAAATTTATCACAAAGCAGCCACCAAATTATTCTCTCCAAAGCTCCCTCCTCTGCAAGAATGAAATGCACACCACTTCAGAGACAGAGAGGGAGAACAGAAGCCTTCACCCTAAGGCAAGATTAGCAATAACACTGCGTGCTGAATGAGGGCTGAACAATTATTAAGTGAATGAATGCCTCCACATACCTTGCAAGGTTGCTCCAAACAGAGAATCAACAGAGACTATCCAAGACTTTCCAAGGACATATTCATATTTAAACACCGCGGCTCAAGACATTAGGTTCGGATATTGTGTTTTCTGTTGTGAGACATCCATCTAATCCATAGGCCAGATTAGTAAAACCAGAGTTCTGTGAGGTCCTTCCCTTATCATCCACTCCTACCTCAATCTCACACTCTGGTACTGAGGGATACTCAAGAGCTTGTTGCAAAGGGAGATGAAGCAGATTTCACTGCAAAGCTTTCTCTGTTTAAGTTCTTAAGGTAACAGAAAGCATTAAACAGTCAAAAAGCTTATTTCAAACAAATTTAACATGTTATATGTGTACCTGTGCCTATAGTACTTTCTGCACTCTAGCTGCATTGTAAAAATGCCCCCATAAAGCTGCTCATGCATCACGGACTAGAAACTAGCTGCTCTTTCTAAACCTAGGACAGAAAACTCCAAATGCCAGAATCTTCAGATGATGAAAGTTCTTTTGAAAGTATTGGTATCTGAGCCTTGCTTTCTGGGCACATACAGAGCTCTTAACCTACTGCAGTGAGGAACCCTAAAAGATGAAAATAAGGTTGTTCCAGAGACTTATCTGAAGTTAGAATATACAAAGATCAGCTATACTACGAGTACTAAAGACAAAAAAAAACCCACCCCGCACATTCAATCTGCACTTGAAATATCTCATTTTGGACTTCATCACCTCACTACTACTGATGCCAATAACATCATCCTCAACGACTGCACTGATCACAATCAATCATTAAATCCCACTGTATATGCAAAGCTGTTCAAGGATGGTGTTACTGAGATGCCAAAGAGAACTTTCTAGAAGACCTTCATGTATCTGTAGAAGGTACCTGGCTTGTGTGCCTTAAACAAAAGCAGCACTTAGAACTCTGAGTTCTCATACTAGTCTTCACCAGTGCCATAATGCAATTACAATGCTATAAGTCTGACTATGTGTTGCTCTTTTACTATGCATTTCATAGAATCATAGAATCATTTAGGTTGGAAAAGACCCTTATGAACATTGAGTCCAACTGTTAACCTAACACTACTAAGTCCACCACTAAACCACGTCCCTAAGCACCGTGACATCTACACATCTTTTAAATACCTCCAGGGATGGTGATTCAACTTCTCTTAGCAGTCTGTTCCAATGCTTGACTATTCTTTCAGTGAAGAAATTTTTCCTAATATCCAATCTAAACCTCCCCTGGCACAACTTGAGGCTGTTTGCTCTTGTCCTATCACTTGCTACTTGGGAAAAAGAGACCAACACTCACCTTGCTACAACCTCCTTCCAGGTAGTTGTAAAGAGGAATGAGGTCTCCCCTCAGTCTCCTTTTCTCCAGGCTAAACAACCCCAGTTCCCTCAGCCGCTCACCTCATTGGACTTGTTCTCTAGACCCTTCACCAGCTTCGCTGCTGTTCTTGGACACACTACAGCACCTCAATGTCTTTCTTGCAGTGAGGGGATCAAAACTGAAAACAGTATTCAGAGGTGCAGTCTCACCAGTGCCGAATACAGGGAGACAATCACTTCCCTAGTCATGCTGGCCACACTATTTCTGATGCAGGCCAGGATGGTATTGGCCTTCTTGAACACCTGGGCACATTGCCAGCTCATATTCTGCCGGCTGTTGACCAACACCCTCAAGTCCTTTTCCACTAGGCAGCTTTTCAGCCAATTCTCCCCAGCCCTGT